TAGGAGAGATGCTCCAGTCCCCTCCTCATCCTTGTAGCCCTCCGCTGGACTCTCTCCAGTAGCTCCTCATCTGTCTTGAACTGGGGAGCCCAGTGCAGAGTCTGAACTGTGATGCTCCAAGCACCAAGCTCTTAAACCGAAAGTAACCCACTCTCAGTAGAGCAGACTTACAGGTGTTTTCAGACAAGTTGTAAAACCCCCTGCGTATATCGAAGGAGGCATGAAATTTCATCTCTGTTTGATGGAAGGCTACTTGCTCCAAATAAAGATGATCTCCTGCTTTCCTTCCTTTGGTGATAACGAGTGCTAGAGGGAGAAGAGACTTGGCTAATGGCAGTTTTCATTATGGTAATAATAATATTCTAGAAGAATTTTAGCTTTATATTACAGGAAGTGATATATTATAATTAGGATGTTCACACTGCAGAGCAGAATTCATTTTCAACAGGGATTTCTCTTTCCAAACCCAGACAATATTAAGGCTTTCAGTGAGCTGGATCTTGTCTGAGAGAGTAATTCAATTCTTCGTAAAAACTCAAGACCTGGTTATGTGAAAAGCTGTTAAAAAGTTGTTTTCCTTATGATTTTGTGTCAGAAGAATATTGCGGTTGACTGCTAATGAGAAGCAGGAGCTAAAGCCAGGTGTCTTGAAGTGTTTTTTTGTCTTCTGGGAGAAGTGGCTTCCCCAGTAAGTTGTCCTGTTTGAGAGATGGGATCCAGTGAATGTGTACTGGGCTGAGTTAGGGCTGAGACTCTATATTACTACATACAGAATGGAGTGGCAGTTTTAAACGTGTCTTTACAAGTTATGGCTTCTGTACAAACAATATTAGATTTGAAACCCCTCTTCCTCATTTTCTTCTCTGATTCCTAGCTCAGTGTAAGCTATTTTTCTCCTTTCTGTGCATAAGCAGCACCTGGGAGAAAATATCCTCTCTCCTGCAGACTGCTGTCGGCTTTTGTCCAGCCGTGTCTGAGCTGCCGAGCTGCTGCTGTAGGTCTTCATCCATTACTTAACGCTGCCAAAAATTCATAATTCGACCTCATGCGTAGCACTGCTCCCGTGACATCTCTGAATTTCTGTTTTGAGGTCGTTATGGTAGAATGAATACAGCTTTTCTAGAAGACACTGATAGCAAAACCTACTATAATTGTCTGTAAGTTTTGTTTCCCGTGGGTGGTAAACTTTGCTGTTAGGCTTTATTCCTAGTCTGATGTGCTTCAGCCACCAACCGTTGTACCCTTGCAGCACTTGGCTTTGCCTCCTGAATCAAAAAGCCTTCAGTTACCAACCGCCTTCTTTTCATGTGTAGGTATTCAGAAAGGTAAAATTTAGGAATAGAACGGACCCTGTTGCTAAAATCAGGTTTCTTCTGTTTAATCTGCGAAAGACACTCTTATCCCCTCTTGACCTTGCAGATAGAAGCGAGGTGAAGCAGCTGGTCTGCTTGCACAAAATAGGAAGAAAAGCACAGAATCGTAGAATCATTAAGGTTGGAAAAGGCGTCTGAGGTCATCAGGTCCAGCCATCACCCCAGCACCCCCATGTCTGCTAAACCCTGTCCCCAAGTGCCACATCTAGATGGTGTTTGAACCCCTCCAGGGATGGGGACTCCCCCACTGCCCTGGGCAGCCTGGCCCAAGGCCTGACCACTC